AGAGGAAGACTACCAAGGGGTGTCTTGTGGTCGATGTCTCTCTTTTTTACTAAACGACGATACCGGGTTTCATAGCCACAGGTGAACCGATTACACCCCTCTCTATTTTCCTCCATACCCAAATCTCTTAAAAAGAGGCTGCAACGGATCTGATACAGACTGATCCAGATTTGAACACTTCTATGACGTCACAGAAGTGGCGCTACGGCTATTGGGCCAACTCCACCAATCAGGAGGAGACAGCCAAGGACATTGCCGTTCGAAAGCGCTGGAGACGCTGTAGTACATATGCCAGGCCTGTAGATGGTGCTGTTTTCACAGAATCAGCCCATGCAAAGACAGTGTTAAATTGAGCGAAATGAGGAATGGCTAAAATGCATGATCTGTTTGGTATTTTGAAAAATAAAAAGTATAAATATGCCTTATATAGGTATGGTCCTACACTATATTATTCAAATATAGCATGATAGGTCCACTTTAAAAAAAGTATTATCAGCAATATATACTTGGTGTATAAAAATGTAAAGTAATCATTGGGCCGGAAAATGTGTCTTTTAGTGTGTTTTATATATTACATTTATATATGTGACATTTCTAGATAATATTGTTGCATCAAGTAGCATTTTACTGTTGTAGACAAACACAGTTCTGATTGATTTTTTGTTCAATATTTAAATAATTTGAGTCTTTTGTGACCTAAAGAGTTATCACTAGTTATATGTTTTAACTAGTTTTTTGTTTAATAAATATAGTGGAGTAAAACTAAATGTTTTCTCTTTTTAAATGTGTAGAAGTATAAAGTAGCACTAGATGGAAATACTCAATTTAAGTACCTCAACATTTTACTTAAAGGTCCCATGTCATGCTTTTCCGGTTATTACCCGTCCCCTTGTGTGTTATGAAGGTTTTTCTGCATGTAAATGGTCTGCAGAGTCACAAACCCTCAAAGTACACCCTGTAGCGAGTAAACACAGTTAGACCTGTCTATGCTGCCCCAGAACTTCTCGCTGGACATTTCTCTTTTTCTATTGTTTTCTTCCTGACGTGCACATACCCAAATGGACCCATTGGTCCAAATGGACCTATCCGTTGAGCCGTTACGTTACGTCCCAATGCTCAGACTTCCTCACACACACACTCAATCTTTTCTCAGCTGCAGCTCCGCCGAATTCTCCTCCCTGAGACGGCGGGACGCGGCGAGGCTGTGAGTCGGTGTGTGTTTGGGCTGGGTTTCGCTGTGTCTCGCTATCTCGCAGACGGCCACTGGGCTCATAGCTAGGGGGCAGGAGCTCCAACAAGCCGTTTAGGACAGAGAGTGAATTCACGTAGTTTACAGAGATGCTGTATGAGAAACCAATGTGAGTTTGGAAAATTGCACAATATAAATCTATTCTAGTAGACCTCAACAATGGAATTATGATCAGTGGAAATGGCCATGAAATGGGACCTTTAATAAACTCCCATGATCAACTATCCTGCCTTTTTGTTGTTGTTTAAATTGAGCCCCCTAGTGGCAAAATTACATATTTTACATTTAAAGTAAAGGTATTGCTTGTGCAGAATTGTTTCTGTGTTTTCCTTTTGTATATGAAGTTTCTGGATTAATATCGCTGATGTAGATATTTAAAGTTGGATTTGAATTTCGTTACACCCAACAGCATATAGAACAGTCAAAATAAATTATAATTAGGATAAAGATGTGTATGAATTTAGTGGAGTAATTTAGTAAAGTAGCATAACATGAAAATACTTCAGTTAAGAACAGTTTCCTACATTTATTTTACTCAGTTCAATACTAGAGTTGATGTTCTTAATGTACTTATTGTACTGCATTCCACCACTAATGTGAATAAATTACTTTTTAATATAATTCCAGTGCCAAAAGTTTGGTGCAAACCCACAGTCCTCTCTTAGAGTAAAAGAACATGTTTAAGCTTAATAGAAGTTAACAAGGCCTCAGCAGTCTGATTGAGTTACTGTCTTTTTAAGATTCCTTTGCTCTTACCTACAGTAGGACACAGTGTGCAAGAACACAGAAAGCTCTCTAAATCAAGAGTAAGCCTCCTATTAGCTGCAGCTGAATGTTGGCATGTACTTTTTATAGGAAAATCGGACAGTGGGTTTTTCTCCTGCAAAGACTGTATGTGTATGAGAATAAAGTCTTAACACAGAATAGAACAAAAATAAAAAACAATGATTTTGAGTGGAGAGAGTTTAGATACAGTATATTTGCATGCCCCGGAAGCCAAGTCAGAACAAATATATATAAATCTAATGATACATTTACTAAGTAAAAGACAGGTGAAAAAAGTGTATGCATTTTTGCCTTCATTTGACAGAGGACAGACTGAACCCAGGACGTTTGAGGTTTTATCGCCTTCTCTGTAACTTGGCCTCTTAGGAGTAAAACAGATAGGCAAAACTTTATTTTTTCTTCAAACCTGGCAAAACTTTTTTTTCCCCACGTGCTCAGCTTTTATCACTTGTTCAATTAAGAGACTTTAAACAAGGACCACCAAAAGCCTTTTTCTTTCTTTAATATTATAGCTGTTTATTAATGATATTGTCATTTACACGCAGTATAACCAGGATGTATCTGAACTATATGTGCTTATTTATTTATTTTACCTTTATGTTACCTTTATTTAACCAGGATAGGTCTCATTGAGATTAAAAATCTCATTTTCAAGAGAGTCCTGGCCCAAGAATGGTAACAGCACAGTTTCAGACAGTTTTACAGTGACGGCCCCTACACACGGCGGTGTGCGTTGCCGCTTGCCGGCGTGGGGGGGTGAAAATCGACCAACAACCAATCACATGAATCTCCCGCCCCAGACACACAAGCACGCGGTTTGATTGGCTAGAGCTTGGACTGGCATATGATTCGATTGGCTGACGCTTCCGTTGAGGCGTCAAAAGTAGAACATTGCGAGCACCGTGAGAGAAGCTACGCTTTGCTTCGTTGAAGCGGCAACGCACGCCGCCTTGTGTAGGGGCCGTTACAGACAATTAAAAAACACACAATCACAACACAGTCATACACCAAGTTTAGCCAAAGCATTTACAGACACAGCGGCCTGCTTCAAGGTCAGTTAAAGTCGCTTTGAGTGTTTCTAATGAGACCAGCTCTCTGAGTTTCAGCTCAGTTTGAAGCAGGTTCCAAGCTTGANTAACAGCACAGTTTCAGACAGTTTTATAGTTACAAACAATTAAAAAACACACAATCACAACACAGTCATAGACCAAGTTTAGCCAAAGCATTTACAGACACAGCGGCCTGCTTCAAGGTCAGTTAAAGTCGCTTTGAGTGTTTCTAATGAGACCAGCTCTCTGAGTTTCAGCTCAGTTTGAAGCAGGTTCCAAGCTTGAGGGGCAGCGTAACTGAACGCCCTTTTCCCAAGTTCAGTACGGACCTTTGGTACAGTTAAAAGGAAAAAGTTCTCGGAGCGAAGCCGATAGGATCCTGTGCATTTTCTATTTATGTACATCCTTAGATAAGGGGGAAGAGCACCAAGAATAGCCTTATATATAAGGATGTGCCAATATTTCAGTCTACGCGTGGTCAGGGAAGACCATCCTACGCGAGTGTATAGATTGCAGTGGTGCGTCAAGGATCTGAGGTTTGTGATGAATCTCAGTGCGCCATACTTCTAAATGAGTACACGAAGTAAGAACTTTGAGAAAAACAAAGACCAAAATATGAGTTTCTAGGTTACATGGTAACATTTTCAAACATGTATGCAAGGAAGGGAAACTGATATTCTTGTTATGTGATCTTCCGTAGCAGACTGAAAGAGTTTTGACTGCACCTTGGCCGTTAAACCTAACACACACACACAATAAATAATTGTAAAAAAAATGCTGATAAATCAAAGTCATAGTTCTCAAAAGATTCAGGTCAATTGAGACTAATGACCAGGCCCATTTGTAGCCAATGTCCTTGCTAGTTTCTTGCTGTTTGCTCATTTAAATGACATTTTATGTGAAATTCCCATAAATTGGACATTTTCATTATGTTTGTGTTTTATATTTCACAATGTCTTCATTTCTACTCTCGGCCATTATATGATATAAAGGCATCTTTTTAAAAAAAAAAGGGTATCTGAGTCTTTTAATGTCTGTTTTTCCATGCAGGTCAGATGTTCTTTGAGGCCGATCCATTGGGCCTGAAGAGAGGAGTTCAGATCGAGGACCTGGTGATGCAGTTTTCTGGAAGTTCTTGTCGGCTG